TAAGTCACCAGTCTCACTGTCACTTAGCCAGCATTAGAATGAAAGGCGCAGCACGGCTTGGTGGGGACATTTGCTGGTTCTCATCGGTCATATCAGTTCACTCCTGTTAAGAGCTGTAAATTCCTGTAGAGCTATGCAATACTGTACTTGTATATTGTTAAGATTGACCAGGTCTTTCCGGAGTGAAAAGAAAGTGAGGAAAGTGCGAACTGTGCTTTCCCACCTTAGCCGAGCAGCGCCAAAAAAAGTTACCTTGGTCGACAACCATTTCCAATCGTATTTTTTTCCTCTCTTGATCGCTTCTAAAGCTATATTAATCCCCGAAACGACCGCCAACAAAACCATTGCCTTTTTGCCTACCTCCACTCTTCTTTCATTCGATGTGATCGCGTTCCGTTTTTCGCTCGTCTATCACATGCGTGAAATGGGGACAATTTCTTGCAGAAGTGATCGAGCTGAGTCTAACATTGCACTGTGATCGCAGCGCGCTATGCGATGCACTGGCTTCTGTGCCTGATGTCGTTGCTTCTGGTCGGCGACGTCGTGCTTCCGGCTCGTCGACGTCACACTCTGAATATGGCAATGCTAGAAACACCAGTGAAAGGCCGTGAGGTCGTCGCCTATGCTTCTGCTGATCAGCATCCCAGAACTTCGGGTAAGCACTCGCTTGTCAGATGATGACGACCAGACGGAATTCGTCCGACGTGAATGGACCGAAGCTGTGTATAAGAAAGTCCGAACCTATAGTTGGATGTTCGCATTGTATTTCCACCTCATTTTTTGAGTCATTTGTTGTATAGTGGAAAGTTAAGTTAGTGGAGGTTGATATCCATTTCTCGCAGTTTACATTACTTCCAAATAAGACGTATTCTTGTACACTCTTTATCCCTGAGACTGAGTAGGCGTTTGAAAATGGCACAGAATGGGTTACTCGTGGGACAGACACGTAACACCAATAGTGTTCCGCATGAAAAGTATCTGAATAAAAAGCACATCACAGCCGCGTTCACTCGAAGTACGCGGCCACGCCTACCACATCTCAGGGATTTCAAGTTCGCACTGTGCGCGTCCCTATTATTTACCATTCAAATGGGCCGTGAATGAATAGCGTTGAGAATTTTGTCATACTATTTTTTTCCATTCATTTATCAAATTTTTATGCCATGAAAAATTGCTTAATGATATGTGCACTGTGTATTTCACGGTGGGTGGCGCCGCAATTGTGAATGTACCTGTCGCTTATTTGATGGCTCTTACTGAGGACAAAGCTGCTGCCTCCTTCCAAGGTGTTTCTCCCTTCGTCACGCTTTGGGTTTCCGTGTTTGAGTGCATTTAGATCCAAAAAAAAAAAAAAAAAAAAAATATTTTAGGGACTATTGCTATGCGCGCCACTGAGTACGCAATTTGAATCCCTCCTATCTCCTGGATACAGAGTTTATACCCACCGCTGTGAGTCACGGCTATGATTCACCCCCTCACAAGGAGCAGAGCTTCCTCTGTCCCGATTGAGCGAGGATGACTGCCAAGTCTAGGAGCACCCCTACATGGAAGGCGATACGTGGGGCAAATTTCTTCGCTAGAAACCTTTCGAGGCGGAACAAATAGTACCAAAGGAGAGCAGGTGAAAGAAATGTTCCAGTCTCGCTCTTAAATCTTCAAGGTGTCTTTTTCCAGACACCTTCGCGAGATTCCGCTGCTCCCGTTTGAGAGGAGGGAATATTCCTTGATCCTCTTGGGTCCCCTGTAGGTAGAAGCTTTCCTGAGGTTGCTTCCAGAATCCTCTCGACTTGAATTCAACCTTACAATAACCTCCGTGGCATCTTTGGTAATGTCGTCTGTGGCGAGAACGAGTCCGTTAACCGCCGGGAGCAAGGCGTCTTATATCCTTGTATGACCACTCTAACACATTTTTTCGAGATAGAAACCAAAGCGTCTGCTTGACGTTTGGGAGAAAGCCAGATTACGAAAAGAGATTCTGAGTCAAATCGACTACGTAATGACAGATACGCCGAGAATGTTTGCTGACGTTTCGGTTATAGGTGAAAGTGTGGTCGCGACTGGCTCCGACCATCGTCTAGTGCGCTCGACGATACTTATAGATCGAAGAAGAGAGAAACGAGTTCTGTACTCACAAAGAGCACTCATACGCTACGCTTTCAATGCCGATTTATTCACTGAATTAGTAGCATTGTCAGACCTGCGGATGGACACTGAGAGAAGCATCGACGCTGACTACGACGAACTAGTAGAAAAAATAGTTCTTGCTGTCAAAGCTTCCAGCACTGCAGCAGAACGCGGCAGAAGACAACGTGTGTCAGCGGAAGCAATCCAGATGATGCAGAAGAGAGCACGTATGAAGGCCGAAGGAAGGGTCCAGAGCGAGGAATATAAGACTCTCAGCAAAACGATAAGGGAGAGGATAAAAGAAGACTATGAAGGATATAGGCAAAAGAAGCTTCGTGAAGCGGCAGAAAAGAGGGCAAGCCTGAAAACAGTGGAAAGGGATGTCCGTCTCAGGCAGCAAATTCCCTCCGCTCTCAAGGATAATCTATCTAGGTGTTCGCACGACAAATCGAAAGCGGATGAATGAAATCTGCACGAAGTTTTTTAACGATTTGTACTCCTCAAAGGTGTTTGTCACAAAAGTCCACTCAACTGCTGTCAGAGAACCGGTCCCAGAAGTCATGTGGGAAGAAGTCGAGCATGCAGTGAAGGGAATGAAGTCTGGAAAAAGTCCAGGAAGTGACAACATTCGACCTGAGCACCTAAAAGCAGGCGGAATAAACCTATTCAAAGCGCTGGCAGAACGTTTCAACAGATATTTCATTGAAAGAAAAGTTCCAGCGGCGTGGAAGAAATCGAAGACGATACTGCTGATGAAAAAAGGAGATCCTGAGAGTCTGAACAACTACAGGCCCATCACGCTTTTGTCACAAATATCCAAAGCCTTCACGAGAATAATCTTGAACCGTATCGTCAAGGACTTAGACATGGCTACGAGTAGAGAACAGGCCGGCTTCCGGAGCGGTTATTCCACGATGGACCATTTACATGTTGTACGTCAGCTTACGGAAAAAAAAATGTGGAGAATTCCAAATTCCCCTATGCTTGCGTTGTCGATTACAAGAAAGCCTTCGATTCGGTTGAAGCGAACGCAGTATTCAATGCGTTGAACAGATTTGGAATCAATACAAACTACGTCGACCTCCTGGAAGAGATGAACGACGGCTGCAGTACAGAGATCAAGCTCTTCAACGACCCCTGTCATATAAAGAGGCATCATTGGACTCGAGATGAACCTCTCCAAAACGAAATGGATGAGAAACCAGTTCAGTCCTATGACGGAGATTACAGTCGAAGGCGAAAAAATAGAAGAAGTCCAGAATTACGTCTACTTAGGGTACCAGCTCAGCTTTACAGAGGGCGCTGGAGGAGAATTTAGCAGGCGCAGGAAAGCAGCATGGACTAGCTTCAACAAAATCTCAACGACACTGCTAGACGAAAGCCTTGCGATGGAAATAAAAGCGTCACTGTTTCACTCCACAGTCGTACCCGCACTACTATACGGCGCTGAGTGCTGGTCAACCACCAAAGCAGACGAAGAGAAATTCGCGGTCACGCAACGGTCAATGGAACGCAGAATTTGCAAAATATCATTGCGTGATCATATCTCGAACACGGAACTTCGAAGGCGAAGTGGCTTTGTTGATATTGTCCAGGAATTGTATAAAAGGAAACGAGCATGGGCCGGCCATGTGGCGCGTCTGAGAGATAACAGATGGACTTCCCGGCTCACTGATTGGATTCCCTTGGATCGCAAACGACCGCTGGGAAGGCCTAAAACGAGATGGGCCGATCCAATGGTGAAAATGTTCGGCCAACAGTGGAAAAGATGCGCACAAGACCGGAATGAATGGATCAAAGTCGACTTGCGTGGATGGCGTAACACACGAGGACAAGTCGGATACAGGTGATACAGGTGATCCACTCTAAACGGCGAAAAATCTAGGCCTCCAAACTCGTTTTTACTTCCTTTTATTTTCCAGGTTTTACCGTATTCGATTTTCGCCTCTTATACCCATGAGCCCCTCACCAGCTTCTTCTTCTCCTATCGTATTCCTTCGTAGTTAGAATTCATGCCTTCCAGTGGCTATTGTCTTCCTTCGTCGTCGTCAAAAGTCTCAGCACCTCATTCCCTAGGCGCTTATCAATAATGAAAACGTGGTAATATTCTAATAACGTGCGGAGCGTCGCAGCGCCACCCATCGCACCACACGGACGTTGCCATAATAAAGTGTCTCCCAATGGCATAATCGAATTCGAAGAGAATAAGAGAAGACGGCTGACGTACGCGAATCCTCGTTGCGTCAACCCAGCATACCAATTAATCAACATCGGTTTGCTCTGGGTTCAGGATAAAATGGACTTTGCTCTGGCACTGGGTTTTTTAGCCCAAACTTTTTGGCAGGGCTTAATCTAGGAATAAAGCAGGTTTCAGTGTGTGTCCATGTCAGATAGATCCCATTAGAACCTTCGTGCAGTCCGACTTGCCAGTGCAAAAACTAGAAGTAAGGGGCTTGCTGTATTTCTCTAGCTCCTTAAAGTTTTTGCTAATTGAATTAAGGTGCAGTTCAAATCGTTACTGGGCAAAAATTTTTCAGGCCAGCTCCTGCAGACCTGAGAACACCAGCAACCAAAGTGGTCCTTTTTTACGTTTTTCCAGCTTCACAAAGGTTAATGGATCTCATCGGGATAAGAAGTGCTGGTTAACAATTAACAGATGGAACTAACGAAAGGCCCCCACCCTCTTAAGCAATCAGACTCTAGGTGCGTTCGTTAGCGGCATAAGGCCCACCCCGGGATAATTTTGCTACTCGGTCCAAAAGCTCGGTAGCAAGACTGGGTGCCTATAAAAGTGCGGGGAAAATGATGAAAAAACGAAGTGAAACCGTGGAAAACCTGCAGAAGAGCCTTTGTTCTACAGACTCAAGCAATTTTGGACGAGTTTCCCGTTGGCATCGTGCCAGTATCGGTAGATACGCTGCATATGTGTGCTTATATGTCCATGCAGCACCGCAGCCGCTTATATCAATCCCTTCGCTTCATATTGCACTCGAAGCGATACGAGCATCAGGTACGAGCGTCCATTTGCGGCTGCTGTGGGCTTCCGGGTAGGTATTATATGCCAGCTTGATAGGGCGCAATAAGGGTGCCTTTCTTGGAAAAGGCGCCACACAGCACCTGCTCAGGAGAACCGAGTTCTGTCCTGCTAGGTTACTCCACAACATCAAGCTTTACAGTTGTAAGCTCTGAACCGATACTATATACCGATACCGACTATGAAGGCTATGATGATGGTAAAATGAATTCCTAAGGGTAAAGTGAGATAGGGTGGGCATGTGGTCCACATGCGAACCAGGAATCCGCTGAACAATTTGAGAACCAGTAAAGCTACATGTTACCCTGCGATTACTTCCACCTTTGAAAGCTCCTCGACTGAATGGAAAATTACCCGTGAAATAGCTCAAACTGCGACGTTATCGGACGAAAATGCTGAAACCAGAGTGCTTTGATCTCCAGCTTTTTTCTTATCCTCTCAGGCATACCTCACAGTGATTTACCACAGAGCCAAGGAGAACTTAAAATCTTCTCCGATTCGTAGGCGTCCCTCCTCATTCACTTAGTCTGTTCTGCAATCTCTGAGATTGTCCCTCTTTTCTGGCTTCACAGTAAGTAACGAAGGCGCCGGCTCCGTCCTCAGAAGCTTAGCAGTTTTTTGACGCATTCCTAGTTGTCGCGCCGCCAGAACTCAAACTCTGTGTAGAAGCGGCAGGATGTTCGCTTTGCCCGCATGAAGCGAGCAGGCCCAAGAACTCATGCAGTGGGGCTGCAAGGTCCTACCTAGGGTGTTCTCCATAATTTTTCTGCTTTTTTTTCTCCATGGAGAGCCAAAACGAACTACAGACTTGTAATGAACGCCCCTTGCCCCCAATATACGATGGAGGATTTGTATTTGACTCCTTGGATCTGCGACGACAGTAGTGCGGCGTCGCCGAAATTCATCTTGGAGAAAAGAGATACTGAAGACATGTCAAGAGACCTTATCGAAGAACGCCTTGATCTCGATTGTAGTCTGGTTGGAGCACGTTGTGGGCGATTCTCGCGCAGAATCTCGTCCTCTGAAGCACCTCCAAAGGTATCCCGCCTCTACTTCCTACCACTTCTGAAATCTACAAACTTCCTACTGCTCTCCCGCAGCTTTATTTCGCGAAATTCACGCCAGTTCCTTCCCTTTCCGCAAAAAAAAACTGCTTCTTAAAGAGGGGAAACACCCTTGCTGAATCGGCAAAAAGTGGCAAGAGTCAAACAACCGGAAACATTTCGGCCCTCAAAACAGAAATACCGTGACCCGCCTCCTCCTGCCAGCGGACCAAAATACGACATCCTTACTGGATCCCAACATAGACGTGCCTCTGATGTGGGTCGGTGTGGAGACCAGGTGCCTCGAAATTGACTTCAGTTAGCCTGAAAGCCTGCAGTAGGAAGTCTTCCGATTTCGAAAGAAAGCCAAATATAACACTATTCTATTTTTGTTCCCACTGCGCCTCCACGACCCGTGTCTTGGCATATCTCCGGTCCATCACGAAAGTCTTTTCTTCCAACGACAACCACAGACGGATTATCCTTTAAGCGCTGCTGTACTTAGGTAGGACGACTTACCGTATTCTTTCTATCATAATGCAGCGAAATAATTCTGGAATTACCAGAGAGCCATAACCTTTCAGTCAGTAGGTCATCCAATCCTCATTTCACCCAGCACTTTTGAATAGACTATGGGACTTGCGCTGTGGATGTTTAGAGGAACGTATTCGAGTGCAAATCGAGTTCAAGCCATCATCGTAAATTACCATATTCGCAATTCTATCAATCGACTTCCGTTTTTCAACGCCCCATTGTCCCCCTCGACGGCACCAACACACCGTCGCGGCAACTTGCACTCCTCCCACCTCTATGGTCGTCGCCCTTTTACTCTCCTTCACCTCTGGGGGCAGTACTTCTCACACCTTGTGACAGTAGGCTATTCTGTTTTCGCTCGCTTTTCAACAGCTGTTTCCGGTGTTTTTCATCTTTTGTGCTGGTCCCCGACGATTCTGCTATAGTAGAGTATTTTTCTATTATTACTCCAAACAAACTTGGAGGCATTCATTTTGCACTCACATAGCGCTGGCCTCCATGGCTCATATGGCGTCAATGACCGGGGGGCGGGGGACATAGAAGCCTTCAATGCGTGTTTTTTTCTCTTTTGTCTTTTCACAGTCATGTCTTACACTGCAAGTCTAGACTGCTGTTTCCGTAGTTTTTCATTTCATCTCTTATGCTGTACTACCAAGCGATAGAGAATTTTATATTATTATGGCGACAAACTTGTGCCATTCTTGGTGCTGCACCGACCCAGCCCTGCCTCATGGCATATGACACCAATGACCGGGTTGGGGAGGGGGGACAGGTGACATAGCCTTTCAGGGTTTTTCTTTTGTTTTTTTTCACAATCATGTCTTACACTGCAATTCCTGTAAACTCCTGTCTAGTACCGTGTAAACTCCTGGGCAAGTTTGGCAAAATGGCGTTAGCGTCATTGGAACGCCCTTCCCCCGATTTTCCCTAATCTGAACCAGTCAATTGACAAGTTTGACAGGAATTTACAGGGTGCTTGACAAGTTGTAACAAGTCTCACAGGGTGTTGACAAGGTTGACCGGTATTCACATGTATACAGTTTACAAGATTTAGTATATAATAAGCGCTTACAGATGTGCCTGTGTTCCTTCCAAGGCTATTAGCGCCCAAAATACTACTCCTCGAAGTCGGAACATTTCTCGCATACCCTTCCCCCTTCGAATGATTTGATGACCTCTTCGCTCAACGGCAGTTCTTTGGGGATGGAAAATCCTAGGACATTAGGAGAAAGAGAAGCGAAAAGTTCGAAAAAAAACACCCCAAAACAGACTCGTTTTGCATCGTCCTCAGCCCATCGTCATTTCGCCAACCAAGGAAGGTTGGGAAAACATTCGAAGAAGGCAGGTAGATTGGGATCGAGAAATGAGCTGGAGTAGAGAATTTGGGGGCGCTGTTCGGCGACGAGGGGGCATTCTTGAAGTTTTGCTGCTCCTCTGGGTCCGGTTGCTAGTCTCACTCTGGTGAAACTGTGAACACTTCTGAAGCTGGAGCGAGCTCGTCCGTGCTGCGGTGGAAACCTGTTAGCTCTTGTGAGCTCAAGATGTTCCTCGATAAGCAGGAGCTGGCTCTCACCTTCATGTACACCAAAATATGAAGTCATCTCCAGTCGCAGCCTGACTGGAGAAGACCTTTGGAATTCATGTCACCTCCAAACAGCTGCGAAACTTCTAGTATGGAGTCACCCATACCTGGAGACCAGTACTCTCGATCTGGATGACCTCCAACATCGAGCAGCTCCGACAACGTCGCTACGGTCTAGGACATCATCTTCACCACAGTCGCCAAGGCGCGGGTTGATGGTATGGACCGGACGTACCTGGAATGGAAAGACCGATATTTGGACCCCGGACTGAAGGTGAGCGCTGGCGGTTACATCGAGCAACTCGAGAAGAATATCCTCCACATGTCGTCGCCCGTACCTTCTTGGAAACTTTGTACTGCTACAGGATTGGGTGACACCACATGGAATGGAAGGGCGTTGAGTACCTGAAGAAGATGGAATATCTAAGCAGGTCACCTGACCTAAACCCCCTCAATTACCTGGTTCGGGCGGAGTTCAATAGGGTGGTCTACAGTGGCGGAGAAATCAACGATCTCGCTGAACTCAGGCACCGAATCACGGTCGCGTGGCAGAATCTCTCGATGGCGCTCGTCCAGAAGGCTGTGGCGGAGTATCATGATAGTATACAATATGCTCTTGAATATGGTGTAGAAATGTCCGATCAGAATTTAATAAAGTGTAACTTATAGCGCCTCGAAAGTCAAGGAAGAAAAGTGTCTTTTTTGCCCCCCCCCCCCTCCCTGTATAGGGTATTCACTGCGGACAGTGGGCCGTGTCACGCAGGAAGAATTTGGCACGGTGCCAAACCCGTCCTCCACTAGGGGCCGTATGCTATTCGAGGGGAAGATATCCCCGAGTAAACCTCCGCTGTCTGCCGTTATCTCTATCAATGCCCATCGCCTTCTCTTCATCTCTGTTCCCCCAGTCACCCCAACGGTATGTGTTGGGGGAGAGGGGAAGAGATCGACTATTCTCTGTGGATGCAGAGCGGCGAGAGCCAGAGAGACGGGAGGCATCAGCAGAGAAAAGGGCAGGGAATGGAGGATTACTAGGGAATATCTCCCTCCAAGGGGAAGTATAGCATACCGCCCCAATGTTAAAGCGAGCAAGTGACAAGACTGTATCATGTCGTTCGTATCACTCGTTTCCCAACAACTGTTGTCGCGTAACTGCTTCAACAACTGGCAGAGAACGGGTTTTTCACCGTGGCACACTCATACTGCCTGACACGCCCCACCGTTCGCAGTGAACTACACTACACCTTGGATTTAGAGGCAGAGTCTAATCCAAATCTAAATGTGGTAACAACTGTAGAACTGGTAAGGAGACTTTGGGGAGGGGAGTGTCACCAAATCCGTACCGCGCCAAGTAAAACGTTGTTCCCGAAAGAGATGTAGGGGCAGGATGGGAACACTATTGGTGATCAATAGCAAGTAGTAAGCAACGAATGATAAGACTGACAAGAGCCTGCAGGAAATGAGCAGGTGGAAGTTCATGGCTTTACCAGAGTTGGAATACCTTCATCCTCATTTTGATAGTGCTATCATCGGAAGGTTTTCGACCGCTGAACTGTTTGGAACTTCGGCGAATGATGAACGTTTCTAGAGGTGTGATAAGAACCGGCGTTGCATTCGGCCATTGTTAAGGGGAGAGATTGGTGGTATCCCAAGAATAGGGAAAGATACGAAAGCAAAGGTACGTCTAGAACAGCGACGAGTTCACCCTGACTGTTCCCCAGTCGCAAGGCCTCACTGACATTTCTTACACGCCCACAGGGGAATATCCAATGTGAAGCACTCCCCTCCTGCTGCTGGGGCCTGTAAGTTCTACCTGCATTGCATGTGCATTGGACTAGACACTACAATATCTCGGATCCAGCAGCGAGTATCACCTTGTCATGAGGGCAGTCTCACCGACTGGGCTCTGTTGAGCAGCTGGTGAGCCACTTTCTGTTCCAAACCTGAGGACTCCTCAGCTTCGAGCGGTAAGGCTCATTGTGGCAATCGTCGGAGTAAGATAGCGGATCAGAACTCGGATGACCTCCACTCGAACTGAGCAGGTTTTCTTCTGATGTTTGGCATGAGACCAGGGGAACGAAACGTTATACGTTTTCGTTGTTCACACCCAGTGTACCGGTACGGCGTGAGTTGCTATCAGGCGCCACTGTCGAATGCGTGGCTCATTTCGAAAACAGATGATAGAAAACGATTTTATTACAACATTATGTATCGCCGGTCGTCGAGAATTCTAAAAGCGCAAAAGTTTCGTTGAAAGTCCATTTTCTCCCAAAAGCCGATAGTACTCCATAGTGCTTCCAACCTGAAATCATCTTGGAATGCTTTCACGACATGGTCAAATATGATGTGCAGCAGTGACAAGAAAGAGTTGGCTTACATCTGTAGCAATGGTACTGCTTCCGGCCGCTCCATTAAGACCGCCACAGCATTGTAGAACTTAAAAAGCATAATTTTGCTGAGCGTGATAATATCCAAGCTTTCTCAGGAAAAAACAAAAGATAGGAACAACTTGAGTACATCCACTAAAGTAATTGCCATGTCATTGCGACCGTTTTCGTAATAGCGAAGATATTCCTCTCTCAAATGCTCGAACCCTAAGCGCGACCATAGCTCTGCACATCTGCTGGGAGGGCTGGGACGACACTGAAAAACTGCTATACAAGAACTATTGACACATAACAGCCAAGACATGGAGAGCAAGATGTGAGTCCGGCAAGTATTGAGGCGAAGCTGCTCTCAACTTGCTGCTGGGATACCGTGCTCTCGTACCGCTATATCTTGGTCATGATGTTTCTCCCTTAGCTCGGCAAAAGTCATGCCGATGAAAGCCTTCAAAAACTGGTCCACAAGAAGCCCTGCAATGTGACAACTGAAGGTAGACATGTGACTAGGCAACACTAAAACTAACCAAACTCGTGCTTCGGTTCTCCCATTTCTTGCCATTCCCTGCATGGCTGCTCATCATCTCCTACGTTCGAAGCGTAGGACACGTCGCCCTGAGTAAAGAAGACTGTGGCGAAAAGCAGCACCAAACCGAACATTCTCCAGAAAAGGGGACCAAATGATGCATACCATGGTTGAGCCCTTTTATACGGCTCGTAATCATTATTGTTATCAGAAGAATCATTCATTCATCGGGGGTGCGATAAAGTTGATCGTGTATGATCATACGAAAGGATGTGCTGTTTAGCGCATCAACGACGAAATGCTGGTTCAATTTTCCTTCGCTTCCCAAGCACCCTGGAAAGCACAGGTGCTATTCAGGGTTTACTGCCCCGTTCTTTCGAAAAAAGCCAATTTTTATCGACCTTTCTGCGATAGCAAGTTTGGCTGAAATGTTTTCTACGAGTAGTTAAACCCTTGAACGCGAATACCACATCCGCTTGAGTCAATACCGCCTGGCGCCCGCATTGTAGGCAATAACACCACGTGCCTAAGTTGATTCCTGCGCGTGAGGCGCAGAATTCAGACTTTTGTGCCGGACAACTTCTCAGGATTACGTGTCGAACGACTGCCTAGCCCTGCCTCAAGGCATATGGCGCCAATGGCCGGGTTAGGGGGACATAGCCTTTCAGTGTTTTTCTTTTGTTTTTTCACGCATGTCTTACACTGAAATCCCTATAACTCCTGTCACGTACCCTGTAAATGGAAAATTCAGAGACATTAGGAAAAAGCAGAGAAAAGTTCGAACTTAAAAACACCACAGAAGAGACTCGTTTTACATCGTCCTCAGCGCATCGTCATTTCTTCAACCAAGGAAGGTTGGGAAAACGTTGGAAGAGGGTAGGTAGATTGGGTGAGTGGGGTCCAGAAATGAGCTGGAGTAGGAAATTTGGGGGCGCTGTTCGGCGACAGGGGGCATTTTGAAGTTTTGCTGCTTCCGGTTCCGGTTACTAGTCTCACTCTGGTGAAACATGTGGACACTTGTGAAGCTGCAGCAACTCGTCATGCTACTGTGAAAACCTGTTAACTCTTGTAGGTTCATGAAATAGCTCTCTAGATGGCTCGACACGTCAGTGGGACTAGCAATAGTGCAAAATGCCCCCCCCCCACATGGCCGAACTGCCCCGATATTGGAAAGTTGTTTCGACATCGCCATTTCACACATCACTATGTTGTGCCCTACTCAAGGGTGTTCAATAGGTATCAGACCGGAAAGTGCCTCAAATTATCCCGGGAATTTTGGCATTCTGGTCACTCTACGTGAATGCTCCCATTCCTTACGATTCTTTTTTCTTCTTTGCGTCATTGCGTAGTGAGTTTTACTGCGGTACAGCAACGTCATTGAATAGGCTAAAAAAGGTCTCTTCACGGCTTTTTTTTTCGGAACTAGGAAGCGAAACTCAGATAGAAAAGAAATAAATGGCAGCAGTTAACTGTGAACTGAACAGCTGAGCCGTGTATGACGTGGAAATAGATTTCCAGGCCCCTCAGCAATTTGAAATGCCCGTTTTCCTGCCCAACAATTCCGACTACAATTCATGTAATTTTAAGGGTGGCGTCATTGTTGATAAAGAAACCTGCAAAGTGAGAGCAGGTTCATGAAAAAATAAGAGCGGCTGTTGGCTTCCTTCCCCTTTTCCAGACCTCGTCATGCGATTTTTTGTTCAAGCATAGTTATAGCGTTGTCAAGGTCACGTCCGCTATACAGGGTGAGCCATAAATGTGGAAACGGAAGTCCAAAAATGCGTATTTTTGAACTTTCCGTCACTTTTTTCTTTTTTTTCTGACTGCTCACATACAATGTACATGTAATGTATGTTCACATACATTTCTCATCAGGTCTCAGTTATTGGTTTTCAAATTTAGTAAAGTATTTTTCTAGTCGCACCCCCATTGAAGGGTGAACTCCCAAAGCCAGGTCCCTCTGAAAGGTTAGGAGATGTTGGGGTAGGGGG